TGAGGTGACTGATTTTGCATAGCCTCTGGGTTCTCAGAAGCAGTCCCTGAGTCAGACAGAAAAAGAGGTGTAAATGGGGTCATAGAGGAGATGGGTATTAGCCCAGGTTGACCTTGAGGGTACGGAGGACTCAGTGATATTTTCAGAGGAAGGCTTGTGGGGAGATGGCAGAGGGAGACTGACTCAGGGAGTGTTGAGAAAATGTTAGGATTTCTTTTGTTCTCACAGCAATTTTAAAGTTTTCAGCCTATGGGTTAAGTAGGGGTGATATGAAGCCATCCTAAGGGCAAAATGTTTCAGGCGGGTTGTATGTAGCTTGTGGCCGCAACACGAAGTTCCGAGTTTGATTCCCAGAGCCCACAAGAAAAAGATGGGAGCACTACGTAGAGGCAGATGGATCAGGTGGGTCACTGAGGCTCTCTAACCAGCTAGCAGATGAATCAGGTGAGTTAGAGGCCAAGGAAAGACCCTACTTTCAAGACAGTCAATCAATCAATCGGTCAATCAGTCAGCGGGCAGTACCTGAGTGGGGGGGATACTAAGGCTAACCTTGGGTCTACACATGACTGATCTAGAAGGCACTGCCTGTTTCATAGTTCAAGCCTTTCTTCCTGGAATCAAATTTTAAAACTGTCAAGAAGGGGCCTCCCTTGTCCCAAATCCCACCCTGAGTGGGAAGTTATTGACTAAGGGAGGGGTTACTGCTTGCAGCTTTGGTACAGTCGATGAGCAGCCTAGCTGAGAATTTGTCCAGTTATGCCTCTATATCTCCTTCCAGTCCTCTAGTGAGAGTGTTTAGGGTTTCCTCCCCATCACCGACCTCCTAAATACAGAAGCTGGTTTGGTTGAATTAGTATGTTAATGAAAGATAAACTGTGCAAATGCCTTGTGGCAAAATGATCTATATAAACAACCAATAAAAAATATGTACTTAAATAACCACTGCAATCCCCAAATACAAGACAATATTAAATGTTCTAGTTAAGGCAATTGTGCCGTATTCCTGAGATTTCAGGAGGCCTAGAAGCAGAACTCATATTTGTAACAATATAATTATCAATACTGAGCAGCTAATGTTTATTGAGAATAAGTGTGATGGATTTGTGTAACACGAGCTATCTCATTTAATCTTTCTAAAGACTATAATCAGAATCTGTCATAATGTTGTACAATTTAGTAAATGAGGCAGGTAAGGCCTAGAAGGCCATTAGTATGCCTAAGCAACGTAATTCATAGGTTGTAAGAAGTCACCCATTGTAGCCAGTCCCTCGACACCAGGCCACCAGTAGCTTATACTGCCTCCTAACCTAAACAGAGAAAGTATCTCCCAGTTTTATGAAGGGACCTGTCTTTGCTGATAAATCTGAGCCAAAATTTGGTGAAATCTCTTCACCAAAAGATTTTTTTTTTGTTTTACAAAAACACTATAAAAAAACAAACTGAACAATTCATATAGAATAGACATGTTGCTTTTGTATAGCTGCGACCCAAATGTCTGAGAGATCACCTTAAAGGAACAAAGATGGAATTTTGGCTCAAAGTCTCAGGCCTTTCTGACCATAGTCCTTGACACTGTTGATTCTGGGCCTGTGGTGAGACAGAATATCATGGTAGTGACATTGTGGAAGAGAAGGTAACCATATCACAAATGCCAAGAAGCAAAGATTAAGGAGGTGTCTGGATCTAGGTTTCAGCTCCAAGGCATGTCCCCAGTGACCTCCTTCTCCCAGCTGGAACCCAGAGCCTCCCCAAATAGCACAAGAGCTGGGGGCCCAGCACTCAACACACAGCCTGTGAGGACACATTTCATGGCTAAGCCATAGCAGGAAGTTAATTTGCCTTATGGCTGGGTCTTGGGAAGTCTAGAAGCAAGGTGCCAATGTCTACTGAGGTTTTCTTGCTGTATTTAAAGAAGGTGGATAACACAACAGGAAAGATGAGCAAGTGCACTTGCCTCTCTCCCTATTCTTATAAAGCCAGTAATGTCCTCATCCACACAGTTTCATCTAATCCTAGTTACAAAAGACTCCATTTCCAATTGTCATTAAAATGTGACTTTGGAGATTAAGTTTCTAACATAAGAACTTCTAAACCAAAGGAAAAAGTGTAATGGCTAATATGTCTAACTTGACCTGGTGTTTCTATAAGGGTGTTTTGGGGATGAACATTTGAATTTGAATACTGAGTAAAGCAGGTTACCTTCCACAAGGTGACTGGGTCCTGTTCAACCAGTTGAAAGTCTCAACAGAACAAAGTTTGTTTTTACCCTAATAGTAGATGATGGTCTGAAAATTATGGCATCTACTTCGCAGATTTGAGGCTTGCCAGTTCTTCTGTCTGTCTGTCTGTCTGTATCTATCTATCTATCTATCTATCTATCTATCTATCTATCTATCTATCTATCTATCTATCTATCTAATCTATGTATTTATGCAAGTATGTATGTATGTATGAGCCTGTCTGTCTGTCTTATCCATTCATCAATCATCTTTACATCTACCTATTTATATATCTTGTCTTAGTTACTTTTCTATTCCTGTGATAATATACCACGACAAGGGTACAATAGAAGGAAGTATTGTGAGAGAGGGTTACAGTTCCAGGAGAATAGTAGTTCATCATCATCAGGGCAGGGAGAGTGGCAGCAGGCACGGCATTGGAACAGCAGGTGAGAGGTCACATTCTGATCCACAAACAGGAGGCAGCGGGCAAACAAGGATGATGGGAAGCTTTTGAAACCTTAAGCCTGCCTCCAGTGATAGACCTTCTCCAATAAGGACACACCACCTAATTCTTTCAAAACAGCCACCATGGGGAGCACTTACTCAAATGTCTGAGCTTTATGGGAGATAATCTCATTCAAAGCACTGTCTGTCTGTCTATCTATCTATCTATCTATCTATCTGTCTGTCTGTCTGTCTGTCTATCTATCTATCTACCTACCTACCTATCATTTATTTATCTATTTAACATCTATATAAATTTTCTTTAGAGAACCAAACCAGACCAATATAGATGAATGTACATAAATACTACTGCTTGTGAATTTACCTTCCAAGTCAGAACATCTCTGTTTTCTAAGACATTGTCTGATAAAATATTACACAATAAAATGTAAACTTTTAAAGATTTTTAGACTCATTATAAGTAAATAAGAATGAGCATAACTTTCTGTTTTTATTGTGAATCATTAAATTTAAAGTTTTATTTTTAATGAACTAAAAATGGACTATATAATATTTAGATTTAGGCAAAATTTATAGATGCTACACAAAGGGAGAAATTTTATTATTTCACTTTTAGGAGTAAAAATTGACAAGTTAAATCAGATCTCTGAATGCAGGAATTATTGAATATCTACAAAGCATAAGGTATCAATTCTGATATTTTCTATAAAAATTCATAGCTAAATCAATTTAAACAATTGGACCCTGCCATGTTTTATACCAAGAAATGGTGGGTGGTTTATAACCCTTATTTCAAAAAGTATACGACTATTCTATCTCTACACGAAATACTTAGGATTTTACTCATCAAGATGCCTCCTTATAATGCTCTGTTAGTTAATTCTTTGACATGAGGGATCCTCCAGAGTAGGAAGCAGCCATCCACTGACAAGTCTTCGGATGTTGACGTGTTTCTTTATATGAATATACTAACATGAGTTTAGAGCCCATAAAGTATTATCAGGCTGAATGTTTTCCATATTTCCTTAAGGGTCTCTGCGGGTAGAGTTGGGGACAACAGGCAGAGTCAAGGTAGCATGCTTCCATTGGTGGGAAGGACTGAGGCCTCTCACCTTTGGGGCAAACCAATTAGTATTTTTGTAAAATGAAATTATAATATCCCATTTATTATGTGCTCTGCTAACTGCAAATTGCCCATCTTCCTGGTAATCCAGTGAATCTAGCAATGTGATTACACTGAATTGAGGAGGAGTCTTAAACACACAGGGATAGAGTTATACTCCGAGATTCCCTCAGGTTGGAGACCGAGCAGGGCATATATTCCAAGGACAAAGTCACTTTTCCAGTGACACTATTTTTGATGCCTCTTTTGGCCCACCCTTCCTTGGCTCCATCAGGCAAGTGTGGTGTTTTTTGAGGAAGAAATATAACGCCCTCCTTTGTTCTCCCTAGGATCATTCAGATGTGTAAAGAAATAATTAGAACACAAAGTGTTATCTCTGCCAGTAATCAGAAGCAGCCCGGATTCAGGAACACATTCTTAATCATTTCTGCATGCCTGGACTGAGCAGTTGGAGGCACTCAGAAATCCTACCAAGAGGGTCCTAGGTACTCTTTAAAAAGTGTGTCTCATGGACTTTATTGAGCTATTAATAAAGTAAAATACGTTTATTTTAAAGCTTTATTCAAAAACTACCGTGTGAT